TTCCTCAATCCTTCGAATACTCATCCAGATCTCGGACCTTATTTAAGGTGACTTAGGCAGTGCATCTACCTCACATTTAGACCCAAGATCCTACGAACTGCAGTCGCGGAGTGTGTCTTTAAGTCCGTTGGACATGCTGGAGCACCTATCAGTATCTCGGTGACTGAAAGCAATAAATTCCAGCGTAGTCTCCTCATGATAAAAACGAGGTTGCGTTCATACTTCAGTGTACGCCGTTTTCGCCAGCAGTTTTGAGCATTTGGCGTGCAGTCGCTCGAAACGCTCAGAACGCTGACGCAAAGTATGGAGGCAACCTAACTAGGAGACACGCTACTGCTATGCCACTCGTGTGTGTGTGCCAGTCGTGTGTTAACGAAGAGATAAGAATATTGATTTTTATTCGGAGAATTTTTACACGTTGCAGTGACAATTGTGAGTACACAGTGCCTATGGTGCGACACCGGAGGCCTAATTAAAAAAACATAAAACTATAACAATCTGCGAATAAAAAACATACACCTGATGTCCCCTCATGATTATTCGTGCGCTGCAAAGATCATGAAAGTAGTTCAGGGTTTGTGGGGTAGCTAGGACTTAGAAGAATCTGGATCTCGAGAGATGTGATGATATCTATCTTTTCAGAAAAGAACATACATAGAAAAAGAAGTTGTGTGACTTAGATGTATCGTTTTTTTAAAACAATAAATAATAAAGCAATTACTGACTTGACATTGATGTACATATTAAAGCATACGTTATGAGAGCAGCTAAAGCAAGAAAACGGGGAAAACTGTTGCACAGAGTGTGTGTTCTTACACATACAAGAAAAAAACAAAAAATGAAAAAATAGGCAAGTTAATAACATAACATCCCGCTAGTATCAAATATAAAAAATGAAGAAATGAAACACAAAAATAAACGGGGGGCGTAATTGGCGCTAGCGACCTGTTTCCTTTGCTCTAGGAAATCATCATACAAAATAGAAGAATAAAAAAAAGAATATGCACCGCCATACTTCTCTCTTAGAGCCTGGAGGCACGTGCATCGAGTTGTGTGATGATAACATCGTGCACATCGTCTACTCAGTCAGATGGAAGTCCCACAATGTATCCACATATGTACTGATATTGATTTGTTAGCAGGGGAGACGGACGAGAGAACCATAATTTGCCTCGTCGTCGCGCGCGGCGCACCGTCTCGCAAGCGCGGGAAACTCAAAGTGTGCGTCAGTTTCTCGATTGGAGCGGTGGAATTCGTGGAAATCGGTCCATTTCCTTTACTTTTCCATATTTCCTACATATTTCACATACTTTAGACCATTTCCTACACCGTCTATTGCTGTCCAGCTAACGTTAGGGAGCATCGACGGCACACTTTCCTGTCTTTTTGATATTCAAATTTGAATGGCTGAGCAGGATAACTCGTCTCTCGCGGGCGGCGTTGCTCACCGCACCTGCCAATGAGGCAAATTACGATTCTCTTGTCATATATCCTGATAACAGTGCCATATCGTCAGGCCAAGGGGGACATCATTTGCGATACCTTAGGGCAAAGGGCAGGTGTTGAGAAAAGGATGAAAAGCTTGACAAATACAGTTATCAATGCGCGAGTTGTACCGCCTAGTTCGCTGCGGATGGATCGGCGTGTCCGGTGAGATGAGTATGGCGCGGCGCCAAACACCTTTTCCACCACTTGTTGGGGCGGGATGAGCGACAACAACTGGTGGGGAGCGGATCTGGCACTGTGCCAAATCCATGGCGCCTGACACGCCCATTCATCCGCAGCAAACTAGACGTTAGAATCCGTTAGAGACGTAAAGTCAGTAGTCTTTTGAAGCTGTATGGATGACGTATGACGTGAAAAGGTGTAGCAATCTGACTGGCGGATTGGATGTGCGGGAAGAAGAGAGCAGCGGGATGCGAGAGTGTATGATGATAATGCTAGGGATAAATTGAGGGAGGAGAAAGAGAAGACGCAAAAGAAATGGTGGCGACGGGGATCGCTGCTGGAAGAAGGAAGGGTGAACGACAACGACAGTAAGAATGCTGCTGGACGCACACATCACATCTAGCTTGAGCTGTGCTCTTTCTCTGCGACACACACACATACACACACGCACGCACTCATACACACACCACAGATTGTGGACGGATAACACCACAGCACTACGACTATCAGCGACAATAGAAGCGCCAGCCGTATATACAGCCCTCACCACTGCAGCATTGACTCAAAATTGTCTCAGAACAGCGTCAACTCTTTTCTTAGAAGAAGAAACGACTAATCGATTGCAGTAAAAGAACGTCCAAAGACTATGAGTCAGTGCTGTACGATGTTATAAATGACCACAGTTATGAGATGTCGTCTCGAAAAATGCATCAAGGCATGTGATCGTCGTGAATTTCAGCATTACTATTGAAGCGCTCTTAAGCCATCATCTATAAGACTTATTCCATATTCTAGAATAAAGAAATGCAATGATATAAATGTAGAACGACTAGAGTCCAACGACATACCGTCATCGTTGGTGATGGCTAAAATGCACGAGCAGAAACACTGAAGCAGGCGTAGTAGAACAGTCGACGGGGATGTGGGGGGAGAGACGAGAGAATATGGAGGCTTTGGCAGTTTGCCAAGCGGCTCGCGCCAACGGCAAGAAAGTAATAGGTGAGCAATAGCGGTAAGGGATAACTCAGCACATAACACATACAGATTGCGTGAGGGACACGGTGGCGACGAGACAACGGCTCTACGGCAGCAGCAATAATTTGCATGCCGCATCGCCGGGCAGCTACAAAAGCTCGTATTGCCGAAGATGAATGCGCTGAATGATATCGCGACAGTCGTTAAACACCCGCCGAATATTTTCCGTGTCAACAGCACACGTGAAGTGTGGATAGCAGTGATGTCGACCGTCACCGGCAGCCGTTGAGATTCGCTGAAAAGCCCAGAATCTTGACAGTATAGTGATAAAAAACGAAAAAGCAAACCAATTCAAACAATCAAACTGCAGCTCATGTAAATTACACAAAGAAATTAATTGAAAAACTTCGCAAACCTTACCGATTTTTCTCTGCTTCCGTACAACTTTACTATTACTTTACAGCTTCTTCACGTTTTACATTCACAGTCAAATGAGGCTCCGGGACACCACAATCGTATACTGCTTCCCTGCAGTTTAAGAAATGGCTCTTCCCCAAACCCCCAGGGCAATATGCTCTCTACCCTCCGAAGACCGCTAACTGGTATCAGTTTGTCTAGGAGGATAAGAGCAGTGACTTGTACATCGGCCGGTCCCCAAAAGTTATTGTATAGGCCACATCGCATTCAATAAGCCACTACGATTCTGAATGGAAGTAGAATGCGTGCCGCATCCCAAAAAGTGATTGATTAACGGCTAAGAATTGATACTTCATCCTTTTTCGAAGAATACCATTCTAGCCAACGTTTATGTATTTATGAAGTATGCGATCGAAGAAACGCACAGTAAAAGTGGGCATGATGTGACTGTAATTGCTCGCAGCCCATACACTACACGAAGAAATATTGGCGGCGCCGCTGCCCACTACTCACCTCTCGTCAAACAACCGCTGTGACGGCACTAAGGGCGCGCTGCGGGTTAGTTTTGCTATGGGACCATGAGGCTTAATTTGAAACATCTGAAGTAGAGTTTACTTTCTTGAAAGCACCTCTGTACACTTATAAGTGATAGTCTTTGCCGCTGATCAATTCCTTTGTGGGATGCGTCATGCAATCTACTTCCATTCAGAATCGTCACGGCTTACTGGATGAGTGTTTTATCCTCCCAGATGAATCTGGTCCAACCAACTTCCCGTCCCTGAGGATAGAAGGCCTTGTTGGTCTGGGCGGAAGTCGACACGGTTGCAGTCTTAAACTGTTGTCAAAATTCAAAACTATTCTATGGTAGCCAAAATGTCTAGAGAAGCATCACTACAAAATCCTAGCATGTGAAACCAAAGATGCATCGGCCTGATCTGATCTCATAGAAACAGGATGCAAAGTAGCCATGAAGCAATACTGATTGATTGGCCATGTCACGCGGCTTGGATTTAAGACATTTTAAATTTTTCTAGGATACAGGGCAAAACTAATAAAACATTACGTTCGCTTCGAATTTTGCTGTGCCCACTGCCTTTTCATTGCTATTTCACTGTTACATTTTATTAGCACTGGATGACGCGAAGTAACGATTGGTGAGACAGAGGTGGCAGGAAATCACTTTGATGGCATAAAGCGAACAGGTCCCGACAAATCGTACGGTGACGCTATCAGGGGGTATTTACGGTTCTCCATGATTTTTTTCTCAGACTTTCTCTCCCCTCGAAGATCGCTTGGCAACTATTGATTCGTTACTTAACGCCCCCACAATATGCAATCGCAGAGGGTTGTCTAAACTGCTGTTTTAGCTGGAGCGCAAGACGTTCACAATTAAAGAAAGAAGGATCATTCGCACACCCAGAAAACATGGCAATAGAAGCAGCACAAAACGAACTCTCCTCCTTCCCATGTTTTACACTCGCTGTACAAAAACAGCTCGTTTGAGCAATAGCGTGTTCATATTCATCGTAGAGTGAGTTTTCTCAATGACACGCGATTCGCTCACCTTTTTGCGCCCTTTTCAAAATAAGTTATTTTTTGCTGATCTAGCCTTAGTTTTGTCAAACAGTGAAATCCGAAGAACAGACAGAAATATTTAGAAACGACCGAAACCTACTTTACAAACTAAACACGCAGGAAAACCCAAAAATTCAAAGCAGTTTGCAGAAGTAAGTGCACATACTTTGCGTCAGGTCTTCTAACGTTTTGAGCGACTAGGACAGTATAACTATCGATATAGCGCACAAAAGCATTTTCAGCGACTGCCAGCGAAAAAGTTAAAACTACTCGCGAAATGCTAAAAACCCTTGCGCTTGCTGGAAACGCTAGACTGATACCCATACTTGCTCAGTCGCGCAAAACGCTACCGTACGGTCAAAACGCGGAGAACGCAGCTTTACTGTTTACATAGCGATGCAATCTAACATTGAGGCTAATAGAAACAAAAAAATATCATAAGGAAATGGTAAGTTTTCCTAATGAACAAAGACAACTCACCAGAAACTCTCCCCGAATGAAGTACTTCGCTCGTACTACGTCCTTATCATCTGCAGCATCAAACACAGCATCTCCTGGTAACTGGTAATTCGCAAACTCGGGAAAGTACGACTCAAGTAAATATCGCTTGGCCTTGATCTTTTCTGACAACAAGTCCTGGAAGAAAGTATACTTTCAGCAGCCGACTCATCCCACCTTTCTGTATACAAAAAAGGATCACCCCAATCTCACCTGTTTATTTAAGAACAAAATTACTGAAATCGTTTTCAACCAGCGATTATTCCATATGTTCTTGAATAGAGCCAACGACTCGCGCAATCTGAAATAGATTTAAATAGATCCAAACTTTCTAAACAATTTGACCTCCATATATTTAAAAAAAACTGACAAACTATTTCCAAAAGAGAAATTTTGTTTCTGTAAGGAAATAATTACCGATTTTGAGTGCTGTCTTCCCATAGTACAAGATTATACGATGATGATGCACAAACGAAGATGATGGCCGTAACATCGTTGAAGCATTGGATCCATTTCCGTCTCTCATCACGCTGACCGCCCACATCAAACATGCTGAAATGATAAGTGCACCGCTTTTCAAACAACACTAATGGAATGGTTATGTAACAAAACAATCGTGATCGCCGCGGAGGTAAGCGTCGCGTGCGGTATCGCGCCTCAAATGAGTCTTGGTCCTAACCAGGGAAGTTCGCCAACTTGCCATGGAACTTTGAATGGAGACCTGGGTAGATCGATAGAGTCTATAAGGTTATTTACAAATATAGATAGCAAAACTGCAACCTGCATTTCACAAGCAACTTATGAGCAGGTAAAGTTTGTAATGGTGCAGTAGGGTGGAGGCTTGGTGGTGAGCTGTGAAGCATAAGCGAGGAATCGCATACGTCGAATCGAGTCGTCGAACGTCGAACCTTACCACTGAACCACAACTCAATTCGACGTATGCGATTCCTCGCTTATGCTTCGCAGCTTATCACCGCTCGACCTCGACCGTACTACACCATCACAAACTTTACCTGCTCATAAGTTGCTTGTGAATGCAAGTTTGCTATCTATATTTGTAAATAACCTTATAGACTCTATCGATCTACCCAGGTCTCCATTCAAAGTTCCATGGTAAGTTGGCGGAATTCCCTGGTAAATGACGACAATAGAGAATGTATAACGAAAATGTATAAATATCCAAGAATCGTATCGTATGTGAACAAAATTGCTTCAATCAATAGGCTAACGCAAATCAAGAGAACGCGCGCCCACCGCCGCGCGCGACGTGGCGGCGAACTACGGATTGTTTTGACCGTCGAACTACTGAACAAAAATCGAAAAGAAATTAGGTGCTAAAACTCACTGGAAACGAACTTTGTCCACCTCGAACTTTGTTTCGAAAATACCTGTCGTCATAACACGGCAACGAAGGATGTCCTAAAAAGCAGTCATTCGAAAGACCAGTCTTGAAGAGCTATTAATTTTTTTACGATAGCTTAGATTGCACAGCTCAGAAGTCCTTGTTATAGAGTGATAGGTATGATACAACGTAAACGTAAAACTTCGAAAAATTGAGTGATGGGACTACACCTTGACATGAAGTGAATCTCAGAAAGTAGGTAAAGGCCCTGTTGTCAAGCGTCGGCAAAATGAAGGTGTAGAAAATGTGAAATAGGCCGAAAATTCTGCAAAAGCAATCAGGGCAAATTCGGCCGTTGGGACTTACGAAACACGCCCACCCCCCCCCTCAGCACCTCTTAACTTCCCTTCTCCCTATGACCTCCTCCTCCTTCCCCACCATCCGACACACCACCACATTTTTCAACTTTTTTTCCGAAACTTCCTTCAATTTTCAAGAAAAAAAACTGAAAAAACTGCCGTCGTTGGGGGAGGGGCTGGATAGGGAAGAGAAAATTAAGAACCAAGAAGTCAACGCAATGAAAACATTTCCGTCAAGGCAAACACCACCCCTCACTCAGCGCCCAAATGCGACCCCGTACTGGGGATTCCCAGCGTACCGCCTGCTCTAACCGTCGTATACCACAGGCCAGTCAACAAAATCCTATTGCAGAATCTTCATGTAATTAATGGTAAGCTAACATAAAAAACAAAGCTCAGTGAAATTGTCGGAAGTTCGTAACTTCTTTACCTGTTCTGAGGGATCGTAGTTTGCCTGGCGCACAACGTCGATCTTATCCAAGAAACTGAAACAAATGATTTCTAGGTAATATTTATTCATCCATTTATATTGTATAATTTGTTCATTTGTTTTTTATGTTGATTGATAAGATGTAAAAAAAATGAAAACTTTGAAAAGAAAAACGGTCTTGTGTAATACGGCCCTCACATATGAAGGAAAATGCAACGTCGATCGCTTTCGCGTATATCCACGAAAAAAAGAGTGATGCAAAGAAAGTGTTCACACGAAATCAGGAAAGATAAAGGAATGAAAGTCAGTTTCTACACGCAAACAAAGTAATGCAACAAAGCCGATTTGGTGACGCTTCCCACTACTCCCAATGTTGACCTTTCGGCGCTTTGATTTTTTCGTGCTGAACTTCCTAGCGTCGGCAGTCTGTTAGCCAAATTTACATCTCGTGACACCAAAGAAGTGGGAGAAGGTATACGTGCCTGGGAAAATCCGATGCTGTAAACTGGGAGATTAAGAAGAAGATCTCACAAATATCGATCGACTCCAGCCAAGTAGATAATCAGATCTGGACCACTCGATGCGTAGCTATTTTTTTTTGCAGAATCTACGATTATCGCATCGGCGCGATGCTTCGATCCCTCATACTGCCAAGGCAGAGACCGAGTTTACTAAAATGGGTTCCTTAGTGAAACCTCAGAAAAAGAGCAGGGCTATTCCGTCAACAAAAGTGGGCACTAATAATCTAGGATGGGGGCAGTTAAGAGACTCCTAATGTAAAAGGGGGTTACCTGCATGAAGATGAAGACTCTGGTTAAAAAAAAGCACCCGCGATAGCCTTTTGCAGGTTGCAGGGCTCGGAATCATTAGGTCATGTATTGAAAGAAATGCATGGAAAGAAAAAAAGCAACAGAATCCATCGCGATCATCCCGAAAGAGACCTCGTGTATGGGACTGAAAATGAACGACTTAACGAGACGTTGGGTGAGTTCTTTGAATCTGGTAGGCCGCCGCTAGCTGTTACTCATTCTCCAAGGCATATTCGATAAGAGTAGCAATTATTATCGCAAACGAGTTTTGACAATAATAAATGATTGAGGTGGAACTACCTTGCGAAGGCGGAGCTAGCTTAATGTTGATGAGCTGTCGTGCTTTTATTCAGCGCTTTAGAGCCGCAGAAGGAGATATTTTGACTCCGAAACTCCGTCAAAAATTCCATTTTGCTTCTGCTAACTCGTCGGGAGCAAAAGGGGATATCCTCTGTGACTACAAACTCCTGTGCACTAAAGGGCTTGCGCACTTTGATCGCGGGCGCTGTCATCAGCCTTCAGAGGAGAAGTTTTAGGTCTGTACGAGATCAGACACGATACAAACCACTAGTCTTTTGCACCAGTTTTTTTTTCAGCCCAGTTTACGAAAGGCGGTACTTCTAGTTGGACGGCCATTTTAGTTCCATTTTACTCAAAGAACTCTTTGAAACCTTCCATGCTACCCCCCCCCCCAAGCCCCTATAGTGCGAGCGTCCAGAAATGTTGCTCATTATTCTAGGTCTCTAAGACTGACAATGACCTTATAGCTAATGGTTACCACATCAAAACCACAAAGATGCGCCATCTTTGTGGTTTCGATAAGGTAACCATTAGGAACATTATTGAGAGATTTCTTCACTGGACGCCTACTTTGGAAATCTCGGGAAATTTGAAAGTAGTTGAAGCGTGGCACTCACTAAATAAACATATACAAAAGTGTACACAACAGCCATATTTTCTTCTTCATCGACTTTTGAGCGATCCCTAGACTAAAGGAACTGAGCGCGATGGCATGGGGCGGGCGACTGCTGCCAGCGTTATTGGTGGAAGGGCTGGATGGGTTATGGCCAAAGATCAAATGCCTTCTCGCATCCTTTCCACCATAACACTGGTACCAACCGCCCGCCCCCAGAAACTGTGCCCAGTTAAGTGGTATTTGAGGGCCCGGTTTCAGTTCGTCTTCGGTATTGCAGATCCAGCAAAAGCCACGAAGACAGAATGGTAGGCAAACACACTGAAACCACAAACAAGTTATTTGCAAAACTAAAACTGGTGCGAAGCAAAGTATAGGGCAAAACGTGGCGAGGTACCGGTATAAGATGGCCCTGGGGATGACGAACCGTAACAGAACAACTGATAATGCATGGATGCAACGTAACGCGGGGTGTCATGGAGAAACAGCTCAGATCAAGTTATGTTAGCGCAGCAGTGGAGAGAACTCAACTCAATACAGCAGGACGGCAACGGTCACTCGCAGAGAGCAAGCAGAGAAAGGGGAGGTGACAAACACCAGCTACTCGCTAGGACAAAGGGTGGCACAATCAGATACTGCAACGGTAACAGACAACTATAAAGCATGAGTCAAATAATGTCGTTGTGACCAACAAACTAGTCCACTCTGATTCAAATACTAACGTAAGGCCGCGTTCATACATGATGCAGAAATGCCGAACCACGGAATGTGCAGAACTGCGGAATTTGCAGACCTGTGGAATTGGGAGAAATGCAGAATCTGCGGGAGAAAGAAAGTATATCTATCAATCTAAAAAATCGCGGAATCTGCAAAAATGCCGAGCTTTCAGTATTTCTCCTCGCTGTTGGGGCTAAGCGATCAATCCCTATCGAGTCATTGTCCGTAGTTGCGGCATTTCTGCAAAGTACGCATTACTGCATTTCTCCCAATTCTGCGGAATTTTCTCCCATTTCCGCACGGCGGCAGAAACCAAGTGATCGATTTCTATCACATCATTATCTGCAATTTCGGCATTTCTGCACTTCTCCATTCTCTACCAATTCTGGCTTTTCGATTCGATACCTATTATTTTCTCTATCTGCATTTTCGTCATTTCTGCAATGTCGTCGTGTATGAACGCGGCCTAACTGCGAGAAAGGATCTGCCAGTAATAGGCGATAGCAAGCAGTACAAGCCATTAGGATGAGCAAGCACGATCAGAACACGTCCTGTCCCTTGGGAAAAATTCTGCACAATACGCCCCCTCCCCTCCCGCCTGCTCCTCCCCTATGTTCCTCCTTTGGTACGACCCCTTCCTCTATCCACCTGCCGCTACTAAAAATTATGCCCCTTTCCCACAAGGTTATTTCCCAGTTACCTCCCAGACTGCTTTCCGAGCGGGGTAGAGGGGGTATATATGAAGTGGGGAATGGCGAAAGGCCACAGCCGGCAAAACATTCTCCAGGCCAGATACGCTCTCAAAGCGACGTGCAAATACGACCTCTCCCCCTTCATAGGACTCTACCAAGGATGTAGATAGTGCGCGTTAAAGAGGAAAAACCAACTACTTTGAAACTTTTTTGTGCCAACCACGACCCTCTCCCTTCAGCGTTCAAATACATCAATACACATGACCCCCGTTAGGGATTCCCTAGCATACGAAATGCACTCTGAGCATGACAGGAGTTCGGATCATGCAGCATTATTGCTGGGCACTGCCTAAGCTTTATTATACAGAAGCAATAAAGGGATTGGAGCGCGTCATTAGTTTGAAGAGAAATCAGACACCAGTTCAAACGAGAGCATAAACTGCTTATAAATATCGATACTATCACAACCTTGCGATTTAGGTGGAATTCCATTGAGAAATCTCCGATCCAAATAAGCTATTTCACGAGAACAAATACTGACTCCGCAATTTGTTTTATAGTGGTAGGTTATCGAAGTTAGGAAGACGACAAAGCGCTGTGCTAAGGGCTTGGCGAAAATTATACAGATCAAAATACAGATTCAATTGGCGAAGGGGATAGGGAGGGGCATTCAGTAGTTTCGCCACTTCCCATCGAGTGTCGACACATCCAGGAAACCTGATAAATTCTTGTGAAACCATGAAGACAGCAGCCACAGTTTACAGAGACCACCTGTCAGCTCTCATAAGGTGATAAAATACCACACAAATACTATTTATGTCTCGACGAGCTTGTTCCAGCGTCACAAGAGGTCACAGGTTTCACCGGAGTAAGATTTACGAACCGGAAATAATGAAAGTAAAATTCCTCCTTCTCTCCCCCCCCCCCCCCCCCCGTCGCAAAAGAGCCTATTTCAATTACATAAACGCGATCTTCAGTATCGCCGCAAAAGCAGACTTTTCGACGCTCAGTGAAATCGCGTCTGGATTATTTTGGGCGCAAGATTTGTCAACATGTCGCGCCGTTTCGCGAACTTTCGTGAAAGGCGAAACTGCCAAGCGATCGCATATACTTCGTGTGCCGAAGTTTCAGGCACGGTTTGGCACCGTTGCGACATTTAGTTACCAGCTTGATCTCTGCCTTCCGTCGAAATTTTTGTATGTTGGACAGCATTGAGCTTTGGATGACCCTAATAAACGACTGTTAGGCAAGAGGATTTTATGCGTCCTCGAACGAAAGAGTTCCACGGCGAACAAACCTAATTCTTCGTGAAAACATTCAAAGAAAGCTCATCGCAAGAAAAAACTTTGAATATACCAGAAAAGCAGATTTTTTCTTTGCAAAATTTGGTGCTATTCGACTTGGAGCGGAGGGGCTTTTGAACTTCCGCGTTTTGTTAGTTCACGTTAATTAAAAGGCCTCGATTTGGCGACCTGAAAGCTTCTGTGAAGCTTCGAAAAGGTGTGGGAGCCGCTTCGGTAAACTCGATCTTCACAACGTAGTCAGCACAAGGTTCGCTAAAACCCACCTGATGCCTCAACCGAGCCGAATCATGCCCAAAAAATCTCTAGCGCCTTGAGTCTTCACAAGAGGAAAAATTGTAGAAAAACTTTTTGCAAAAAAAAAAACGGAATCTTTTGCAAAAAAACTCTCTTGGAGTTTTCATTTCATAAAAAATAACATTCTGGAGCAGCACGACCCTCTGTAAAAAAGCTTCTACACTAGGGAGAAGTGGTTCACCCAACTCGTGACCCATTCTCGTTGTTTCTCCACCTTTCCTGGATTATACTGATTGTTCTCGGTTCTAAAATCTGATTAGTAAACTGGATTCGTTCCTAGCTGATCGGGGCTACCCTGACGCAACAGAAATTGTTCCAGTTGCAAAAAAGCGTGCAGTGTAGCTTCTGTACACAGGATGTATAAGATTACACAACATTACAAAAATGTCCCGCCTCCTATTCTAAAGTAAACTCGCACCTTGTTTTTTTACCCTGTTTAGTCCCCGCGTCAATCGATTCGTAAGCGTGCTTTCTTAAACTGTCCCTTTTCGCGGATTCATAGTTAGTAATGAAGTCGCAGCGGCCCTCATAAGTGGTAGATCTGACACCTACCCTGGTTGTCCCGCCCACCGAATCTCACAGGAAATTTTCTCTCGCGAGTTCAGTTTTTACACATCGTCTTTCGTTTTTTTTTTCGTTGTCTGGTAGTATCAGCATTGGATGACACTATGAAACGACTGGTGTTCCAGAACGGCAGGGTATCGGTTTGCTGGCATACGAGCACTTCTCGAAAACTCGTCCAAAAAAGGCTGCCAGGTTCTTACTCAGGTCTCATTGTTCTCTGTCATTTTTTTTTGCTTTTTCTTCCCTGAGAGTCACTTAGCGCAAAGGATTGTAGCTTATCGTCGCTATTAAAGACAAACTCCACACTACCGCGGAGTTGGTCTATTATGCACAAGTGAGGTACACGCTTTTCAGCCATTTTTGGGGCGTTCTACTTAAGACGAAAAACGTTACCATAAATCTATACCCTGAAACGTCCACGTCCAATGCAGACCCAAAGCAAAGAGAGGTTGGCGCTGTGCGCAACACATATGCGGTCGTTATTCGAAGAGAAATAAAAACAAGAAGTGTGAATCTAAGTAGCCATGAAATCGATAAATAAAATCTGATAGTTAAAGATCTATATGGTAGTTTATCAATGTAATGTTTTTGATGGAATGTTCTATACTTTCAAACAATTCAAAACAAATATTTGACTGATACAGGACGATCCTCAAAAGCGAGGAGCTCGAACTGTGACGAACAAAAACTTACTATTTTGCACAGTCGATAAGCTGGTATTCACTGCTTCGCTCGTAGCATGCCTGCACGCCCTTGTCTGCCCAACATTTAGCGACGTGGTCATAAAACTCCTGCAAGCAAAGTTTAGACCATAGCACACATCATTCATAAGTTTTTCGGTAAAAGGGAAGAATGAAAACAATAGAAACCTTGCTATATTATGGGATATGCATGAATTATTCTTTAAAGGAGAAGAAACCATGTAAAAAAAAACTCTGCAAAACAGTTACAAAATGCAAATGTAATATAGTGGAGAAAAAATACAAACAGGGAAAGAAAATCACTAATATCAATAAGTGAATACGAACATGATGCCGGTAAACAGGTCAAAACCTTACACACCCTTAAAAAAACTCATAACTTACAAAAAATGGTTGGTGTCAAATGTATCATGGAAAAAAACCCAGTACATTCGGAATAAGGAAGATAGATTTATACAGCAGATACACTGAAAGGAGCGGTCATACCTGTGAAAATTCTCCGTCCACTTCATTGACACAGTTCAAAACATAGTCCATGCTCGCCTGAGTGCTTGGATCGTCCAGGAACACTCGCGGATCGATCGTGCCCATCGCGCGCAGAATTACCTTCAATCAAACAACGTGTCGCGCTCGAATCTTACAGTCTCAACAACACTTATCGACTATCGTCTTCTTAAGCGTCCCTGAGAATAAAACCAGTTGTCAGGATTTTCGAAGAAGATGTTTTTAATACATAAACGTTCCCATGGAACAACAATTATGCTGAGTCATGGTAGAAACACGTCTTTGCCGTGTCTAAATATAGAACAGGACGCCAATAGTCAGCAAAATCGTTGATTGAAAGTGCATAGCATTTCGTTTCTCAATAAAAAGTGTGTTGCTAAAAATAGCACACTGGAGTGTGCCGACTACAATGATAAGGATTAGCGTCATTTACAACGTGCTCTTTGAGCCTACACGAATGAATGATACGAGCTGAATGAATTCGTTCCTGTCATGATGAGCAATATACAAACCTGCATTGAATCGCGGATGTTCCTTCGGATATCCTTGATTTTCTCCATTTTTTCAGCCTCACTGAAGCCGTTGATGTGCAATATTCGCATCTGTTTCACTATTGTACTTTTACCACTCTCACCAGCACCAAGTAAGAGAAGTCGATGCGTGGCTCGCATGACCTGTAATACACAACACCCCAAAATACACTTCACATCTATTTTTAGCACACACCAGATCAATAACTAATAAACAACCACTGGACGGAATTTCACCGGGAATTTTCGTGATCTGAGCTCACCTGCTTGTCCTTGGCGAGCTGCTCCTCGATCTGCTTGTTGACTTTCCGCGCCTCGCGGCCTTCCGCGTCCGCGCCAGCGCCAGAAACGCAGCCCATCAGCCGCATCCTACCAGGCCAGAGAGACTGCGCGCACGCCGGCGCGGCCGCTATGACCGCACGCAACGCAGCCGCAGCGCCGCTACTAGTTTCTCTTCGAGACCGCCCTCGTTCAAATGAACCTACGCCCTTTGATAAGCAAAAATCTGTGATCAACAAGCTATAGACTGATTTTAGAAGTGACAGAGCTCATAACAGCTGCTAAGTAACTTCTAGAATAGTTCCGGTTAGTTCGGTCTATTGCAGAGACTTTATGCGAACGTTTATCTTCTGCTGAAACCTATTTCTTGTGAGTCACGTCCTGTGTGACTCACCCTAGCGTCTGCGTTGTATCTTCTTTATTACTCAAGTTTCTTAATCGTTGCGCGTTCGCCTATTTCTAATAATCCTTTTAAGACGAATTTCGCTTTGGTTTCAGGTAACACCCTCATCACAGCCGCGGAAACGCTTGGCGTCGTGCGGTCGTTTCGTGTTTCAAGCTATGGCGACAACCTCTTTACAGGTACATTACCATTCATATTGTTACTTGCTTGGAGTCTGCTCGCTTCTTGGAGGGCAACAATCTTGTTGGAGGTGTCCGGTATAACACTGATGCGTCGCGCAACATTTCGAAACAATGTCATTCAAAATTCAGGTGTCCGGTATAACACTGATGCGTGGCGCAACATTCGAATAACTTGTATTCAAATTCAAATAATTGGCGAATTGATTACTTATGTTAAACGACTAATTCACGTTTGCTGTCTACAAAACACTTAGTGAACTTAATTCCTCAGAAAACACTGTATAGCAAAAAAGTTATTGATACAAATCATATTTTGTGGTAACAAATCATATTTTGTGGTACCTACACTGAGTGGAATCTGAGCCATGAGTTCGATCCCGCCGAGGCACAAGGCATGCTTACTGGAAATTGCAAAAATGGTGACATATCAGCCTGAGGGTCAGCTTGATAGTCCGGCTGATGGAGAACCCCTTAAAACATTGTCTAAAAGTTGCAACGGAGCCTCTAGTTACTATGCCACCCCTATGATTTTCACCAATGCTATCTACTTTGTCCTTTTTTTTCTTCTCATTTTCAAAATTCCTCTGAAGGTTGATTTAGCGGAGATTATTTAATAAATTGCTGACCGCCGTACTGCGCGCATCTTCGGAACATGTCATAATTTTTCAAGTAACTCCCTCCTTATATCTTTTCGATCGCTTATGATAACCATGTGCGTCACGCGGTCCAGAACGTAAAAAAAATATGCGAATGTTTACTCGCCAATTTCTAAGGCAGACATATGACCCATCTTCAGAGCAGTGAAGCTCGAAAACCCTATAAATATTTTTTTTTTGTTATCAGTTCATTTATTCCCTGTTCCTTACTTGCTCGAATGTTCAGAAAGCGATTGAATTGGTTACAACGGCTACCGAAGAGGATAAGGCTGGCAAATATGAAACAGCGATGACATATTACGATCAAGCGATATCGTACTTCATTCATGCTATTAAATGTACGTTTCTTTTTAATGTTCAGCATCCGTTATTCACAAAGCAGGCTGAAGTGGTGTAGTGGTAGGTGGCACGCTCACCACACGCGCGCTCCGGGGGTCAACTCCAGGATCGGCTCTCGCCCAGGCCAAGGAGGCATTCTGTTCCCCGTAGCAGTAAGTTGGCACCAGATTCGCCTAGGAGGATAAGAAACATTGATTGTTCATCGGCTGCCCCCGCAAGTCATGTATAACCACGTCCACGTCGCATTCAGTCAGCCACTGCGATTTTAAGTGAAAAGCAGAATATGTGCAGTATCCCAAAAAGGGATGGATCAGCGGCACAGGTTATCCTTTTTACTTACAAAGTATCTGCTTGGCTTGCCGACATGGTTTGGTTTTGTCCACCTCCCGGAGAAATTTCATGGTTGTTAGCAGAAGTGGCATTCTTTGTTTCTTCTAGTGGAAAACAAAAGCTTTTGACCATGGTGTGAATATCTGACTGTCACATGTGTCGCCTGTTTTCCCGTTAATCATTAAAGTTCTTAGCGGGCTTCTGTCCAAATTATTCTCCGCGCTTGAAGGAATACGATATTATTCATTATTTTCGCGCAAAACCTTCATAAGGAAGTCTGACCATTCGTTTCGTTGGTCCTGGTAGTCGTGCTTGGGTTCGTTTGACGCCTTAGGATCCTTTTCGGCGACCGTTCGCAAAAGTACGACCCCCTCCCCAGAGCAAAAGTACGACCCCCCCCCATGTGTTTCACACAAGGATGCTGTACCCTGTACCCGAGTGCCGTCTCCATACTTCACCGTCGGTTTGGCAGCAGTCTTGCGCTCAAACATGGCCAGACGCGCTGTTTGCCTGCTCTGCCTCACTCCTGATGTGCTCCGTCGCTGAGGGTGTCCGCTGCGGGATCTTCATATCGACGCAAGTTCTGTTGGTAAAGGTAGCGTGGGCGGAGTATGGAGGCGGGTATCACTACCATTCAGCCGCCTTCCCGTGCAGGAAAAAGTGGCACACCACTGCAGCTGCGGACTCATCCACTTTGCACAAGGAAAGCAGCGTCCTCGGTGGTGAGGGTACAGTTTCTTTTCAAACTAAACAGTGCGCCAAACGGTGCGCATATCCAACACCGAGCAATAGATTTGGGTCCTGATATTCGTGTAAGTTTACTGCCAACCGCTGACGTCATCGGCATTCGGCTGCATTGTTTTGAAGTTACTCTCTGCTCTTGTGCAGTATAGTCATGATTTCCGGTCAGACCTATTAAGCGCTTGACATAGTTATGCATAGCTTACTGTGCGCATGAGTAGCAAAAAACGATTTTAGAAAAGTCCTATTCTCCGTCCCTTCTAATTAGGTCGGCCCATCTCTGTTGGAGCCTTAAGTAAGAAATTCGATGACGATGGCTAAAGCTTCACAGTTTCTGAATTTGGTTGGGAAGGTGACATCTGGCTTGCGTTTCCACGTTGTGAAACCGTGAACATCTGAAAGGCAGTCTGGAAGCATCAGGACTCATTAAATAGCTTCCTAGGAAATCCGTGAAATCATTAAACAGCCGCGCTTACAGTAACCAGTTTTGAGGGCTTCTCTTCGTTGTTTCTGCTCAAGGTACATGATATGAGAACTTTATACGTAGTGCTAGTATCTATTTGTGTAGCAAGGTACATCACCGTTGCGTCATCCCTTCCCGGTTCCCTTCAGGTCACGTTTGGCGTGGAGGGAAATTTGTCCGGTTCTTGGTTTTCCTCGGATTTCATGCGCGTTATATATTCCCTCTCCCCAATTATCGGCGTGGCTAAACTACAATACTATCTTTGATAGTTGATCGCTAACTTACAATATCTTCTTTGATAGTTGATCGGAGGTGTGCTCCCCCTCTCCCGTCGCGGATCTTCGACGAAATTTCCTGAATAAGAGGGCGTATGTAGTTTGTGTGAGGCGGAGGTGGTGTAGTGACAGGTGGCGCACTTACCACTCGCGCGGCGCCGGGTTCGAATCCCGGGTCGACTCCCGCCCAGGCCAACCAAGCCTTCTACCCTCCGGGGACGGTGAATTGGTACCAGATTCGTCTGGGAGGATAAAACACTGACTTGTACATCGGCTGGCCACCGCAAGTCATTGTATAGGCCACATCGCATTCAGTAAGCCACTACGATTCTGAATGGAAGTAGAATGCGTGCCGCATTCCACAAAGGGATTCGATCAACGGCGAAGACTTTATCCACTTATCCTTTATGTAGTTTTTGTGAGGTCATCCGTTCAAAAGTGCCAGAGGACAGCCATGAGAGGAATATTGGAGAAAAACAAACACAGCGGGATAAGGAAGCGGCTACTATAAGGCTTAGTATTTCAGTGTGTATCGTAAAGCGCGAGTTATGACTGAGTAACTGAGGGATGGTCAAGAGGGTGTGAGCCATGGAGTTCCTAATTTTCTATAGAAGCACGAAGCAAGTACGATTCTATGCAATAGCTAATGTTCTCAGCATAAAAATTAACCTTTCCCCAGCACCGGTGAATGAAATATGGGTGGTCGTGGACCTGGAGCCAAAACTCACAATCGTCAGTTTTGTATGAGTGCAGAAGAGAAGCCGCTCGAGTTTTGCCATGAGGAGTTACGTGAGCGCAAGTGGATGATAATCAAAGCGAAGGATTACTACACTGTGGCTTTTAGGCAGCCCTGATTACAAGAAACAACCGTTGCTTGTCATGGTGTCAGGCCCCAAGTAACTGTATTGTAGGGCAGTGCTGGGACACAAACAATACTGAAACCTGAGGTCAATCGCCCCATTCGCCCGATATAAAGCCGAGCGATTCCAATTGTTCTCGTCAGTCGAGAGTACCCTCCGACGTCAAACGCTTCAATGTTTTGTTATTCGCCGAAATTGGCATCAACAGCAAATTACTGGCACTTGTTGAAAAATCGCAGCGGTACCAACAAAAGGCTTTCGGGGCACTGACGGCAGCGATGTCATTGATGAGGAAGCGGACCTATTAACTTAAATGTCCAATATTAACTTTATATCTGTTTCCTCTTTGCTTATTCGAATAAAAACGGACGGCGCTCTTGAATGGGGGTGACTGATAGAAGAGCGGATTCGGAGAAGGAGGGGTAAAAAGCCGCTACTGTACCGTCACTCACCCATTCTCGATGTGTACATTGGGCTTACAACCGCGTTCTATTCAGCGTGGATATGTTCTGCATTCAGTCGTGGTGGTGTCAAGAGGCAGAGCCCAGCCGTAGCGTCACTCTGCCTCCGGTTGTTTTGTTTGCATGAATCGCTAACCGACCATTACTCATAGTAAGCGCGAAAGCTGGCCCTTCCGGCTGGACGCTGCCCCGACCGATTCAAGTATACTGTTGTAAGTTGTCCTTTCTTGCTGTGTTCCGAAATAATCCCTCTAGGGCGACTAGAATGCTGAGTTATGAGCAAAAGTATGGACCCCAGGCAGGACTCGAACCCGCACTTCATGCTTATCAGGCAAGTACGGCATCCACTACGCCATCGGGGGCGCTACACTGCACATCACACTGGATACTCAAACAATCCATTCATATATAGATGAAGGTGCTATTCATTCTGAGAAAAGTTGCATAAAAAGTGCAAGAATCTCGCAAGAGTTCCTACAGTTTGTGTGGCAGGAGAAGCGACGGTAATGGTAGTCGCTGAGTTTTTCGCATTCAAAATGCACGGCGCGCGATATACTATTCACCTAACTGTCGACATAGCCAACTCTAACCTGTACATACCAAATGTAATGGCCTTTCCATGGGTTGCCTGCTAAATTTTCCTATTTAGTATTTGTGGCAGGTCGATCATCTCTCTAATTGTAAGGCGACAAGATCCAGTGGAGCTGCCGAGGTGTATCATGAGTCAGCGGCGGAGGTGGTGCAGCTGCAGGTGGCACCACTGATCACGTGTTAAGTCCCGGGTCGTCGTCTGCCCGGACCAACCATGCTTTTATTCCCTCAGGACAGCAAATAGATACAAACCGTCAGGGAGATGAAAAATAATTTTCGAGCGTCGGTTTGTCCAGGGAAGACATTTGTAGGGGCTGTTATCGCCATCAAGTGCCACCATTCGCCATGAAAGTAGAATGCGTGGCGCAATCCAAAAAGGGTTGAACAGCAGCGAGAGCTCCGAATTTTCTCATGAATCACTTGAGCGGCTTTTCAGTCTACTGCACTCAAAATAGGCCATCTAAACTTACGTACTAATGTTTCGACTGCATGAACGATTGTCTGCTCTTTTACACTTCCAGACTTTTAGGAGTTTCTCTTTTGAGGTGTGATCAACTTGTATATGTTATAGATGAAGCTCAAGGCGATAAGCAGAAGGAGACGATTAGGTCAAAATGCACAACATACTTGAACCGATACGAGCAAATCAAGAAGTTCCTCAAGGAAGGGAAGGACAAAAAACCCGTGAAGGTAAGCTTACTTGATTGTTGGACATCTATTCCTACCAGTTTAGCTGGCGCTCCGTGCCTGACGCGATAAAGCAGACGCTGATTTGGTTCACTACAGTAAATCACGATCAATTCCAAATTCTTTTCCTTCCACCGATAATTTTCGTTGACTCTTTTCATCATTGTGCTGCATACTTCAAGTGTGATCAACCTATTCACCCACTCCCTCCTCCCCTCCCCTCCCCCCTTCACTTACGAATAAACCTTCATACTTGAACTAGAGGATGTGGAAAATGTCAGTTGATGATATACTCTTAAAGACAGCGCCCGCGATGGACTTTGGCAGGTTTCAGGGGTCACATTTGCTAGAACAAGGTGGCCAATGAAGCACTAAATCAAAAAAGCAGGAAAAAGATGTGAAGAGCGTGAATCTAAGCGCGTGTGTGGACGAGTTTCGCAAACTTCTGGTGAGTTCTCCAATACACGTCGCCGCCTCGGAACTCTAGAAATTCAGCGTATATCAATGCCAGCAAGCATTGATAACTGTCAACCAGTCGGGGCGGGATTAACAGGACAGGAGGCGTCAGCCCGGCTCTGTTGACTCCGCCCTCGTCAACCAATCGATTTCGAGCCGCAAGAGTGGGATTTCTGCTGTGATTGCGAACTCCGCGTTCGTTTTCAATGGAGGGTTTTTCACTTTGGTTGATCGCGGACGCTGCCTTACTTTATCTATTCTTTTCATTGCATAATCCCTTGTCACATGTCACCATTGCCATGTCACATACTTTATGATTGGGTGGAAAGGATACGTTCTGAAGAGATTTACTGCGTGGCCAACGCCTTTATCAAGCTCTACAGCTGTTATCCCTCTCAGTCACACAGTCACATCCCATATTATGAACTTGTATGGAACCAACATAAGGAAACCACGAATGGTGATACAGTAACGGGCGCTATAAATTAGGCGTCGCTTGAGTTTCAAATCTCCTTTTCATATGTTACCAATTCTTAAGGCGTCCTGCCATCCATAAATGATGTCCATGTCCACCCCGTACATCAATTCTTGGAATCAACTTTCCATCGATGCTGTGACGCGAGTTATAAATTTAGTGAGCCCCCTTTTAGGCCCCTTGTGAGTCCTTGTCAGCCGTTATCCTTTCTTGCCATCTAACTAATTTTCACGTCACCCGCTATTCCTTTTGGAACCAACGTTCCCATTGCTGTGAACGCGGTTATAATTGTTTGCCCTCTACGGGACCCTTCAGACTTGTCAGCTGTCTATCGTTTTCTGTCCAATATTTGTCTGGCTTGACCTCACGTACCAATTTTTGAGCTATTGAACTTCTTACGATGAAGGAAGTTACTATTTTCGAGTCATTCAGTCTCAAACATTACACACACAACACAACACACAACACCGCATACACACACACGCAGACGACAGACAGGGACAGAAGACAGACAAACTTGGCGAATTATATTTAGTAGGGATCCTAATTCTATAATAATCCATTTACCTTTCAATCCTTTCAACCTCCTGTTCCACTTCCAGTATGATATTCAAAGTCTGGGACCAACCCTTTCGAGAGATCCCTTTTCGAGTTTGAAAAGCGATGTAGTTTTCCTCTTGGTTTTACCTTAGAGCAAAGAAAAGATGTTTTTTTATCTCTCTTAATTACCACCTGTGTGCGCTTTGTCGATAGAGAGCGAACTTCTGCGCCGATGGTTTTGCGTTGGTTGAGCGCTTATCGGTAGCAGATATTTGTTCAGCCGTATATCAACCTGTCTAATTTTTTTTGTAATTTGCAGAGATCGATTACTATTATACGTTGTCCGACTTGTCATAAAGTCTTACGCGCCTATCGACTACGAATTAAGACATTCTGAATAACAGTGATTGTATTCTACATGCACACAATGAGGTTGAGCTTTAAATGGCTACATGATCTCTTCATACATGAAGCCAACACCTGCTTCTGTTTAGAAATGGATAGACGAGAAGAGAAAAAATTCCTTTGATCAGTGACGGTATGTGTTTGAGCTATCTCAAGTGAGTACTTCCCAGCGTGTTTCTTAACGACATCTCAGGAATTACACTGGACGGCTATGATCGTGTTTGAGAAGTGCAACTGAGAACATGTTCAAGCGCAATTTTTTATTAGGGCCTTTTCTTGTCGGCTATTTACTTTCTTTGATGGATATTTTTCAGGAAGGCAAAGACAGTGACTCCGACGAGGATGCTGATAAGAAAAAGCTGCAGGTAATATTTTGAGCCCAATTTACCAAATCTTAAGCCAATGTTAATAACTTAGATGGCTGCCAAATGTTACCTGTTCTCGGAGGGAAAGGGGCTTTAGGATTGGGTCGGCCGGGACGAAACGGGTGTTTTGTCTCTCTCTCCCCCCCCCCACGATCCACACGCTGGTTTAAGCGTGCCGCTTGAAACATAATCATCACGTACGTCCCACTATCTATAAGAACAATAAAAAAGCCTGATAGTCAGGCTTACGGCGTTATTCTTAATTGAATGGATACCGTTGAGCTCCTTTGCATTTAGGATAAGTTAACGGGTGCGATCGTAATGGAAAAACCGAACGTGAAATGGAGCGACATCGCTGGTCTGGAAACACACGCAAAAGTAAGCGCTCAAGAGGCGGTGATACGCTACCATCAAATTCCGCTCCTTTTACTGGTAGCGTCTTGATGGCCATCACTTTGTGTTATTACTACTTTGCTGTATATCTACAGATCGTTGCATTTCTACTAAACGTGCTAAAAATTCATTCGGTGAATTAATATAGGGTTTCCTCTACTTAAAGCATTCTCACTCCACGACATTGTAGTTATTGAGTATAGTATTGTTAGTAGCATGCAGGGAGGCAGCTGATTTTGAAGTAGCTGACGTGTGTGCTATCATGCCTTTATTGGCTGACATTTTATATTGTACAGGAGGATTATATAAATTTATTTTTTATTCTTTTTCCTGCGACTCAAAGCGCATCATCGACAGTGAAACGAGAATGTTAGCAGTAGCCATAAATAACCAAAACGATTCATTGTATCAGGCGTAATAGTGAGACATAGAATATGTGATGAATGATTAACTCAATGTAGGCAATTTTCTGCCTGGATCTAATGATGGGAGGTGTTTTCTCAGTTTCCAGAATGTTATTGCAATTACGCTACCGTGTGACTTCACGTTTTCGACGCTGATAGCCTTTTGAGTACAAGAGGGCCATCTTGATGGTTCACTAGTGAGTCAGGAGTACGTTCTGTGCTGCTGCTGGGGAATACTTTGGGAAAGGTATGACGACCGCCTATTTCCTATTTTGTCCGGCACCCTTCATCCATCCGTACCGTATCACTTTTTTTTAGTCTTTTGATGGCACATTATGAAATGGCGAAAAACGCGAAAAGTCAACAATCGGGAAACAAATTTTTTTTGTTTCAAACGTCGTACGAGCTTTTCCAATAAGATTATTTTCCCCTTCAGCGTCCGTGAAACAATCAGAATCAACTAATAAATTATTCCCATACCAGATACGATTCCTCCCTTCCCTAGCGACCAAATACAACTCCTGCGCTGGATGGCTATTCCAGCTGTAACGTGGCTGGTGCCTTAGTACTGCGACAAATGAGAGAAGTGGGAGCCTTGAGAACTTTCATCCTAATGACCTGAAGGGGGCAGGATGCTGTGGGTTGATCCGTTTCTATGTGCGAAAAACTCAAAATTTCGGCCTTGACGTTCATTTGCACCGTTGGAAAATGCTTATTGTTACTTTACGAACTTATACATGTCTTTCTTTGGAAAAAAAACTTTTAAACCTTTTGCTTTGAAGGTTCATCGAGTGCAGGTCGCACTCCTTCGCGTCCATCGCGCTCTCATGCGCGGAGCCGGACGAATTGCATTTTAGACTCGGTGGTACCCTTTCTTGGCCAATTTTGTTGTTTGTGTGCTCTAATCCGCTGAGCAATTATTCCCTCATAAGATTACAGAGTAGCAGTATGTTGTCATGTATATTGCTAAGCATTATCGTTCTTCCAGTTCTTTGGTATAATTAAGTTTTGAGTTGTTCGAAGCTAGTAGTAAGCCTGTAGCGTCGACCTCTTTTCGGTGAAAGGATATCCTTCTAGGCAGAAATCCTCCGCGCTTTCAGATTGCCTAGTTTTTCACAACACTTTTCGCTGCCGCCTTTTTTATCTATGGAGCGTTGGTTTATTGTATCCTAGCGACGATTATTTAGTTAGGATTCCACCCACGCTCTAGAACTAACACTGTGATGTCCAAAAATGTCTGTAGCCAATTGAACTTTTCGGCAAAATTATCCAAAAGTAAACAGATATTTATTAGGTGTGAGTGAATTCATGACATTCCTGAAATTTTATTTAAGCTGAGAGAAGGTTTTTGTTGGTCAGGGCTGTAGACATTACCTATCAAAGAACTGTAGAGACTGATCAAATGATTCTAGTGGCGCTAACTCTGTACACGAGCTAGAGGAAACTCCTTCGTTAATATCATCCAGTTCTCATTCCCGAGTTCTTTGAAATTTATGGTCTTGCCTCCTGAAGTGCTGCTAAACCAGAAGGCAAGTCCGCCGGTACAGCATCGTTTGTGTAGGAACATGAGGGGAGGGGGCGTTAGCTTGAGCCGGCTCCGTGCGGGAGAGGTTCGTATATTCGCGCCGTTGTTTTGGGAAGGAGATTCGTATGCTCGCTTTGAGAGGAATTTGCCTCTTTGGGAAAAATTTTTTCCCCAGTTGCCCGGTTGTTGGCTTTTCTCGTTTTTCCCGTTTCACATGTGTTACAAACCCCTCCCTTCCCTCACGCTTCGACGCGGGACGTTTTCGGGTGGAAAAACTGCGTAGGAAGCTGGGAACTTGTGCGGAAAAGTGGTTATGTAGGTACCGGAGGAAGCGGGGAGGGAGTTGCGTATTGTATACACCATTTCAACATCACGATGCTCCACGGTTTCTACCGAACGTACAAAAGCAGCTCGTTACTCGTAGTAGACTTGATAAAAGCTGCCAGGGCACTTAGAGAGTAAGTTCGATGCTTTTTGAGCTAATAACATCTTTCATCATTCTGTTTTAAAGGCAGAGCGCGCGTTCAAATGAGCTATGCGGCTTAAGGTAGTAACAGCGAGCCGTTAGACAAGAAGATATTAGTGAAGAAAAATCAGAACAGAGAAACACGCAAATGCCCTAGAAGGAGTTTCATACCGAACAACGGTTGTACGTGCAGGCGAAGAGAAGGAGTGATTGCACGAGTTTCCACTTGTTCATATCAGCTGTTTTCCCTTATCACCTCACTCTCACCACTCCACGTGGAGAGAAGCAGCAATGGAACAGATCCGCCGCACATCAGGCAACCTTAGACATGAATGTTGCGGTGGCGTGGTCGGCTAGAGTTGGGTTTGCGAGCCGTAGGCTATATTGCAGGTGCGGGCGTGCTGTTCCGTCGCATTTTTGGGTTGCGAAACATGCACGTCCACCATCTCATAGGGGGAGCTACTAGATCCAGAGAGGGCGTGAGAACAACAAATGAACGCGGGCGCCGCTGTCTTTAATCTTCGCTATGTGAAGCGGGGTCTTGGTCATTTGTATGTTCTTTAGCCTTACCATTGCCTTGCTCTCCTTTCTACTCTAATTTTTTGGCTGGTATGTCTCTCATGCTCAAACGGAGCGAGGTTTTCTCATTCAAGTGTCTTCGACAGTCGATTCTTTCTCTTTCTTGCGCCTATCATACCACTACGCGATGATCTAATGAATCAACCTTCAACTCGAATAGGGCGCGATCGGTGACGCTTCTTCGAAGACGAGCATCCTTTACACAGTCTTAAAGGCCGCTCACAAACGATGTGAAGGTATTTACCGGTAAGTTAACTGCAGTATGTGAAAAGAGCCAGCCAAAAGCAGCACCTACGAAAATGCCCTAGATGGAACGCCGGTCCAAATCTGTAACGATGGCCTAAAGTGCAGCGACGTTGTTCAAGCAGTGACACGATGAATCCCAAGTTCGTATAGGTTAATACCCTTAAGACGATAGACATTCGTGCTTGCCCTGAAACTAGGCGATACGCGTGGCGCCTTTCAAGCAGGTACCTTATAGGCGCTCTCTATTATAGCTGCAACGCAGTGTCGATTTCGGGCCCAAGTTACCGATGCTGATGCTCTCGCTCTCGCTTCTTATTTAGTGGGTAACTGTTTGCAAGTGAGCGGAACTGCCACGTCTAACATGGCCTATGCTTACTGGTCCTGCAATCGTGGCATCTCCTCCTTCACATTGTACCATGGTTTATTTTCATGTTACGCGATAAATGACCACAATGCCAAAAGGGGAACTCGCTCCAACAAAATAGCGTCGTTCGATGCCGTATAGAACAAGCGGCTTTTTTGCAGGTTTTCGTCGTCCCATATCTGCGATATTACCACGATATAGCACCTCTTTCCATTCTGGACAGAGTACCAGATTATCGTACCTTATGCCTTCGAATGAACTCTCTTGTCTCTCCGTTCTACTTTACTATGATTCCCTTTACCGATAGTTACGGTTGTAATCTGAGCAACAGCCAGCATCAGTTTACTACGAAGATCATTGATTGGCCTGGCAAAAAGCTTTTTCTTGTAACGATGGTTTCAGTAATTTGTCATGCGGAGAACTTGAAGTTTGTTTTCCATCATTTTGTTCGTTGAGTCAGTTTCAACTGAGAAAGTTTTTCATTCTTCCCATTCCTTTCACCTTTTGATGAATTCTCAGTTTATGTGACCAGAGAAGCGGGACTTTTGCCGTAAGTCGCCCTTATAGGACAGTTTTCACTCAGGGATTTAGCACTGATCTGTCCCTTATCGTTGACTAAGAACAAATTCGATTGAAAAAATTTATTTCTACGAAAATCTACACCGTTCTATGACGAAAACATGAGAATGTGAACATATGGTAGAGTAAAGATAATAGGTAAAGCTTGGAGACAGTGCACCTAAATCAGGACCCCGTAAATACAATGGCTCTAGAGGAAAGAGAGCGATATGACCTAAAGTACAATATGCTTTTTTTTCTAAATGAATTATTTTCTCAGCTGGATCTGAAAGAAAAGCCTAGGTAGGACAAGTAATTACAGTTGCATCGAGCTTAGGTTAGAATTTGTAAAACAATAACCGGATTGGCATAGAATTAGGGAAGTTCGGGGTAAGATGTCCAGCAGCACTTGGTTGTACCAGAATTTTGACCAATTATTCAAAATTCCAATGGGCTGTGTGCGCTTAAAGACTGGCACGAAAGTTTACAGGGCAATTGGTAGTAGTTTTTGGGATCATGGAACGCATAATGTGACGGTTGTCAGTTGCCTGGCATCGCAAATGCGTTTCGCTTTATCTTCAGTTCTCGAGCGGAAGGCAGTTTTCAGAGAGCGAGCGGGGTTTGTGAATGTGTTCCGGTGGGATTTCAAATGAATAAGAAATTCAGTCAAAGTATGCATGAAGATAAGGCGCAGTTCGGTTGGGGGGGGGGAGCATTTTGCACTCACGCTACTTCCCGTTGTATGTCGTATCATCAAGTAGAGATCTGTGAAATCTTATGAAGTCATGAAGTGATACCAGCCAAAGAAACTACTTGTCAACTCCTGTAAAAACCTGTGAGCTCTTGTAAAGCAACCAATATGACAATGGGATGTGGTGAACGCCCCCTCCCCCTCCCTCAAGCCGAACTGCGCCGAAGATGACTTCGCAAATAGTCAAGCTCAGATGAGTTGAGCTTGCATGTTGTGAGATTGCACGTGTTGATATCCGGTAGCACCTTTGTGTGTTCGTGCCGTTAACGCCATATCCTCTTCCTTCATCATGAATAAACTGGCGCCGTAGAGAGCTGGTGAGACGAGACATTGAGTGAAAGCAAGGAACATACAAATAGCTGGCCAAAATGCCTCCGTATGAATACGCCATGTATGTTTGGCGTGCATCATGGTGACTGCATAGAATGGCACTTGATACATTGGGCTGAAATGAGACTTGTTGAAATCCCTCTCAAAACTTATCGAAATTGAAATCCTCATCTCGAAACTTTGGCATACTTGAACGTTGTTTTGTTACTGTGCTCCTGCTACCAGGTTTTTGGGTCGAAATTTTATTTGGCGTGCGTTTCGAGGGTAAAAATTCCATTTGGCGCTCGTTTTGACTTCATTTGTCCCGCGTTTTGACTCGTTTACCGTTTTCAAAGGCCTCAACAGAGCCAGAAGCTCAAGAATTGCACGCCATCCTCACCAAACCCCTCATCCCCTCTTGCATTTCCGACGTCATCTCAGCATTCAGCGAAAATATTCAAAATCAAAAGATGACCTCACCAAGCGCTTCACCTCCAGATCAGAGCGTAGTGCTCCAGGACAACAGAGTAACACTTATCCGTCAGCGGCACAGCGCAACACCGAGTACGTAAGTACTTTAGCACGTAAGTAATCGTATGAGTGTTTTTCTGCTGTCATTTTTCGGCGCGCTCCTCGGAGGCGGGCGGTTACTGCTAACGCCATTGGTGGAAGGGCTGCGAGGCCACATCCCACCCAGCCATCCCCACCAATGACGTTGGCAGTCCGCGCCTGCCTTTAGCCATCGTGTCCACTGCATTTAGCGCTTCAGGTGGAGCCAAAGTGAGCTTATCTTTTGATTTATGGGTATTTTCGCATGTTTCAAAGATGACGACGGAAGTGCTAGAGGGACGAAAACGGGGTGAAACGTAGGCGGACCAAGGTGCTCTTCAGACAACTGTGTTGCAGAAGCGCAGTAACAAACAACATTGGAAGTTATTTAATCATTTCATTAAATTAAACCAATTTATTGTATTTGTTTTATTTGTTTATGCGTCGCAATGACGCGCAAAAAATTGCAAACATTGGTCTTTAGTTAGCAAATTCTGTCCAACAAGTACAAAGGAAAGGGGAGTACTAAAACTGCAGAAGAACGGCAGTATTTTGTAGCCGGATTTTTCAATATTCGCCCAGAAAATGGCTAGTAAGCGCCTGTTGGGGCGAAGAGAGTGGTAAGCGAAATAATGATCATGGGAAGAGTGCGGAAAGGTTCGTGTGCTGCGGGGCGATTTCAGATTAGTTTGCTCCAGAGGGGATGACCTTCCCAACGCCTGAGAGACGCCTTGAGCCCCCGCTAGGGTAGAAAAATTTGCTATTATCTATCACTTTTGGATACTAAGTCACGTCTTCTATGCAATTTTTGTTAGAGTGGGCTGGGTTCAATAGGGATCTAATAAATTACAGCTCAGGCTCTAGTAGTCTAGGTCTTAGCCAAGGCTCAAGTTACATAGAAGGCTCTGATAGCCGTCCTGCTTTCCAAACTCTTCGTGACACTTTTTGTCCACTCCGAACATCTGCTCAAAGAAAAAAAGGGGGAAGGGGGCAGGATAGAAAGCTAGCCAGTTAATCAGTAAGTATAACGCTCTAGTCCTCCTGTCTCTAACTTTTCTTCCAAGCCTAAAATTTCTTCAGCTCAAAAAGTGAAATTTACTACTTTCTTTTAGTCCTTAAGCGTTACTATGGTTGAATTATTGGGACTATTTGTGGCGCCCGTAATGCAATGACTACGGACTACTTTCAAAGGTAATTGCAAGTGACGTGGAGATATGGGCTAAGAGGAAGTAGCTATTTATGACTTTTATGGGTACTAGGTTTTCTTAATGATATTTTGGTACGTGTAATTGTTTTACAAAAGACGTCATAGGGTAATGAATGGTCTGAAGGGTAAGAAAAGGCAAATGACAGGAGTTTAAAGAAATAAGAAAGCGTCTATAAACAGTGCTTCCTTTGTGACCTGATCAAATAATGGCTTTACCGTGCGTGGCGTTTGAAGGGTAACAATCTAAACTGAAAATTGTCCTACTTTGTTTAAGCGCTTTGCCGAAGCATTATTCGTTCCAGTAGGTGCTACTTTCGGGCACATTGTCCAGGTACGGGAGGTTACTGCTTAGCACAACTCCTCCCCTATTCTTTCACCCTTCCGCAGACACCCTAGGGACTGCCGCCGTGCGATGGGTATAGTCGTATTCGCTGCGGACGCTGGGGTGTGTCAAGGGGTTGGGTGTGGCGCGGCGCCAGCTCGTTTTCCAACAATTGTTGTCCCGCTTCAATAATTGGTGGAGAACGGGTTGCTGCCGCGCCAAATACAGCCCGCTGACACGCCGCGGCGTTCGCAGCGGAAACGACTGTATAACGCGCGCCTGAAACGGGCAGGATTAACAATGAGAACAATCTCTCCAAGCTAAACTGACTCCTCTCTCCTTTCCCGGTATCCTAGCGGTCAGACATTCCTAAACCACGATATTTTTTGCTAACACGATGTGCCTGTTTGTATCTCATGTTTTTTTGAGCAAAAAACGCATTCCGCGCAAATGGAGGGGGCAGGTATTTGGAAAAGTGCTCTTGTCGTTCATTGACCCCCCCCCCTTTGAGCCCTTTTTTGTGATGATGAAGAGTAGAGTCGCACCAAGGGGGTTAGGAGGGTCAGAGTGACTCCTGTCGTCGCGAAATGTGCTTCTTTAGCGGGTTTTACAATTGGATAATACGAATAATTTGGATTTCGGTTAAAGTTATTTTCGAAAATATGGATCTGCAGGATACATATTCCATGGTGTTACTGGAGAAGACAGATTTTCCCAGCTCGCTCCTCTGGTGGAATGGGCATTGATTTCGAGCGCAAGCAGTGAATATCTGGTTTTTCGTGCGCGTGCGCTATCAACATTGCCTGTTGGTGAGAAGCATCCTCTAAGGAGCTTTCTGCGCTGGTCCTATGGGCAGGTCATTTGGGCACTTATGGTTTCTCACGAGAGGTGTCCTAACCGTTGCCCGTTGCTCATCAAAGGTGTCCTTTTCTTCACAACTTGGAAGGATGTGACCTCAAAGGGTTGAGAACGTTTGTCTAAGCAACCCCGCCCATTCAATCAATGCGGACTGTGCCTTTAAATGTGAATAGGAATTTATCGCATCTATGGACAGCACTGTTTCAGAAATAACAGGTGTTTTGATGGAACAAGGACAGCAGCCTTCTTTGCTCCGTTCCTGGTAGTAAATGAATTACAAGAACGTATTCTTCCTTGGAACTCAGGCCCCTTAATCCTGAGAAATGGAAATAGAGGGCAACGAGCGTAACAAGCGAATGTCGTCTGGAATTATTTCTTGTTTTTTTTTTCTCATGGTGTGAATGGTCGCGCTTTACTAGCCACTTTCGAGGCGAAAATTGGAGAATTGTAGCGGTAGTGGCAATTGAAAACATGTTTGTGTTGAAGTCGTTATTGTTCCCTTGAGATATCACATCTCCACCTTCATCTCTCTCTCTTCTCCCTCACTCTAATCACCTGAATAGAAATGCGTAGACGAGAAATCGGCTTTTGTAGAGTCCAAGCGATTGAAATACGATAGGACTGTGGTAGAGTATTCCAAGTACACGTATGTAGGCATATGAAGAGAATGCAGCTGGTATCAGAACTCCGAGTATCAGAAGATATGTGAGGAATTTGAGGCCAGAATCAGAATGGCCCCAGACACAGTGTCGTAGTGAGGCGTCATAGATGACGATATGTCCATTGGTGACCGATGGTAGCGCTAGGACCAACGATATCACCCAGGATAGCATACAGAGAATACTGGGCCGTAAGCCGAATAATTGGTCATAGTGAATTCGAGCAAACGTTAGTAGATGTACACCGGCGATACAGAGAGCCATCAGTGCCATGACCGTCCATACTGTGCATGTGAGTAGGGCCTGAAAGTGAATATGGGTTAGATATGGACCTTATAAGCGACACATAGTCGTTTTCGCTCCATACGCTGGATGGTGTCAAGAGGGCTGGGTTTTGGCACGTCGCCAACCCGTTTTCGACCAATTGTTGTCTCTTGCACGTTTCAACAATCGGTCGCGAACGAGCTGGCTCCGCGCCAATCGAGCTCCCTTGACACCCCCAGCGTCTGCAGCGAAAACGACTGTATTTGGGAGCTTAGGAGTTATTTATAGATGTGTTTTGCAAGCATTTTGCGCCCGTTTATTCATGGACCAATGATTTGTAGCTAGGCGAGAGTTCCCTCTTGGTCGGAGTGCTGGTGAAAGATGGTGACCAGGGATATTACTGAAAGGACGCATCATCCCAATGGAGGCGCTTTCGAAAAAAGGACTCCCTCTTCCTACAAAACGGAACTGCGCTCCTTCCCTTTAGGAAACCCCAACGGTGAGGTGTCCGATTACCGAAGACAACGTGCAAGCGAAAAATTCCTTTAAGATCTCCTCAAAACCGACATTTCTAGAATACACAGCGTTGTGTTGCGCATCTCTAATTAAGGCTGGCATAATTCGATTTGCACAACGGAAAATCGATTAAAAAGGGCAGGACGTTTTAGAGGAAAGGTTTCCTTCAACAAAGCGTCTTTATAGGGGTGCAGTAGGAAGGGTTGGCGCTACGGGGGGGGGCTCCATTTGCAGACTGGATGTCAACATATCACGCAAGTTTGTAGTCTTGTAAACTGTAAAGTTGCGGACTGATAAAAGTTCCGTTTGCATGCAGTTTCTCCAATATTCAATATTTTGAACGGCTTTTATGCTGGAAGATCGTGAGAGCCGAGGAGATGGGGACTCCTGCGTAGAACAGTGGAAGGAAGGAGCACCATGCTAGTTGAATCAATTCCCCTGGACAAAAAAATTTCATGTTTGGGAGGGACTTTTGGCCTTTTCGCTGCTTCCATTGTTTTATCGAGCCAAAAAGGGGATCTGCAAAAGCTTGTGAGGCTATGAAGTATAAAAAAAGGCGAAAGTGTAAAATACCCCCCCCCCTCCCGCCCGACCGCCCGAACTGCGCTGGGGTACGATATCCACGAATCCGCGACCGTAATGGACGGCGCCCACATGGCATGGGATATCCTTCATTGAATTATTAACTAGTGAGTGGGGCGACATCTTTGACGTTTGATGACTGGCCTCTATTGCTGGTAAACCGAAACCAACGAATTCTCACCCACGAGCTCACCACGCGATGCTGTTTTTCCGGGATACCAGAGAATGGTGTGGTTCGGAAATGAGGGCCTTGAGGCTCGAGAATAAGCGATCCAAGATAACGAATTTTCCCATGCGTGAGGTGAGAAACAACTGCTGCCCATGCATGAATGAGCATAATGGCCGAGTTGCATTGAAGGTGTTACTATTTATGTTGGTTACTTGGATAATTGTTTCCCTTGAAAAACAAGTAAGACTGCCATCTAGGTAATTATGCCTCCTCGAGTTATCGAAAAACGAAAGCGCGCCTAGCTGACGGGTTCTAAGAGGCCTTCAAGAGCGAAGCCGTGCGATATGAACCAATTGACAGCTAGAAAAGTAGGATAATATTTTCAGAAAAAATCCTTACTTGTAATCGGCACATGAAGTTGCTTTCTTGGAATACATTAACTCCCGTCCATATCGTATAGAGGAATATTGGTATTAAAATTAACAAAGCGACAAGATTTGTAATACATAAATGTGCGATAAAATGTGATGAAATGAAATTTTGATAGAGTTTATGAATAAGAATGTAAAGTAATAGTGCCAGATTGCCGATAATACCAACAAGTGTAAAACAAGCGAATATAATGGCTAATGGTGGAGAAGGTGCCGAGACGTGCGTCATATTCGCGTAGGCTTCATCAATTTCAGATGAATTCCACATTTTCACTGACTATAGTGGTTGTCACTGAAGAAGTCAGCGGTCGTGTTATTCGAGGTGACGATGCCACGACGTCGGCGCGATTCGTGACTGCGCTGTCTGTCGCCTTGTGTCTGGCGCGTTTCGTCGACCTCAGCCTTCGGGGCTATTCGTAGCTAGCTCCGCCTCATTCGCGCGGCGTGTGCCGACGACGAACGATGTGCTGCGACGGCCAGAGCGAATCGTAGGCTGCATGCCAATCGATGCGCTACTGCTCTCCAGTAGCAGCTGTGCCCTATTTTCATAGTCCGCACTTCGACTTCGATTCAACCGTGATGATTATGGGCAGGGCAGTGACTAGCTGGACCACTTGTGAAGTGGTCAGCTGATAATTTGACCACGTGCCGTCTACTGAAGGGTCATTTGATACGCACGCTTCATGGATTGCCACAGCACATGCCCGCTGATGTGGGTTCCAATGTTTGCCGAGTATTGTGAAATAACCACCAGTTGGCTGGCTCGACATGAGCTTGCGTTTCGTTCGGAGGGAAAATTTGTGGGTTTGCTGTCGTGGACCGCAAGTCTGTCATTTGTCAGTCACGAGGGCTCGTCAAGCTCCCCCGTCAGAGGTCGTTTATGGGACGAATAATTGTTTTCATTCGCTGCTTGGCGCTTGGTAAGAACTATTCCTTGGGAAAGATAATGTAGTGAACGCGAAGAAGGAGGAAGGGTTTCCTTGAAATTTTTGGGTTGGGACCTAAGTATTTCTCCTTAACGGCCATTTTTACCCTCGGGAAATTGCGATTCGCTTTTGATTGCTCTGATGAGAGCATTTGTTTGTAGTGTTCGTGAAGAAGTTAGTCGAAAATTAGCTGAGTTCGGCTTGGGAGGGTTCACCTGAAGGGATTTTCATATGAACTGAAACTTGAATTAATGCAAAAGCCCCGTACATTCAAAGAAGTTGGTTCAACTACCTTGAACTTTTTTGTCCTCGTCTCTTTATGTAGCACCAATTTTTCTCAGGGAGTCCTTTATATATCCCTCCAGAAAAAGATAAAGTCGTCACAGTCTTATTACTTACGAGCTTCGGTGAGGGAACAACCAGTGAATGACAATAGGGCCTGTCTGGCTTGGGAGGGGCATCTTGCACTTTCGCTAGTTCCTTGTGCTCATTCCTGTCAAATAACACGTCTTACCTTGGTGAGACCTGCGGCTCCTACCAAGTGTGAGCGAGGCTCATATCGTTGCAAAGCGTTACAAAGATTTACAGGTCTCCACAAGGGTATCGGCAGTGATGGACGGAAACAAGCAAAATGCCCCTATTAAACCGAACTGCGTCCCAGAGATGGCTTCCCGCTTCGAACTTGATTATAGGTGTTTGGAGTAAGCCAGGAGGTGGATGACCGTCGTACTCAGACCATTCTGACAACCATGGATGAAGATGAGAACATGAGTGCTTGTTTATTGGCAGAGCCTCCAATTTCGAGTATCTCGTGACCGTCCATTGTCTGAATACTCTTGAAAAGCAGTGGGAATTGGCTGCTCATGTCCCCATCAACTTCGTGACAATAACGAAGCCGTTCGTATCCTCATACCTCATAATTATCTGGGGTTATTAAGCAAAAAGAGTGCTTGCTCATGTCTGTTGCAGAGACATGAGCAAGCACTCTTTTGCTTAATAACCCCAGATAATTATGCACCAATCCAGTAAAGTGGATTTCCTATGAGAAGATTCTCGATGAACAGAAGTTTTGAGCGATAGATTTCCCTGAATGCGAATGGAAATCCAAAAGGATTCGGTACATGCTTTCCTTCTCCACCGCGATAAAAGGGTAAAGTGGAGAGGGGATCGTGAAAAAGTTGGAGATTTGAAAACTGAAATTTTCGCTCTCAATTAGAGTCTGTAGAATATTTCAAAAACGGAGGTAGAAACACCAGGCTTCGATCTTAGAGATTTGAGCTGCATCACACATTTTACCTCATTCCGAGTAGTGGTGATTTGTTGAATGCGGCTCGGCCAGTGCAGTGATTTACGAGGCCGATCGATGCGCAATTCAGTTTTTATTCTCCTAGAAAAGCGTGGCTCCCCATTCGAGCCAGAACAGGGGGAAGTTTTTGGTTAACTTGGCTATGGGTCAACGGAAGATTTGACCCAACGTGTGTGATAAGCGACCGGTCGCCCTCAGTCAACCATGACAACTCGTACAAGTGACGAGTTGGTAGTTGTTCCCACATCAGTGGGTTACGGTCACATAGCGAAGCAAAGTCTACTTTGTGCTTTCCTTATTGACACATTTCCCTTTTTACCGTCTTAAACGGTGGGCTCACTAGTGACCAAGGTGCTGAAGTGGGGATGGATCCGTCCATATGCCTGTCGTGAACCCAGCTTGTCTTGGTGCGGGGTGGGGGCACCAAAGGGTACTCGACGAAGCTTATATACAGGGGGGAGGGCAAAAAAAGTCATTTTCCTTCATTGACTTTAGAGGCGCTATAAGTTACACT